CCAAAAATGCCCTTCAGTGTAACCAGTGCAAGGTTTGCTTGAAATGCATTTTTTCTAAGCTAGCGTAACATTTCTAATCATGGAGTACCAGCACTCCTAAGTCTTTTTTAACTTGAGATACTTCTAGAGAGGAGTCTCTAAAGTTGTAACTATAGTCTGCAACATGTCTCAAATGGACTACTTTACACTTTGAAGTGTTAACTATAAATCTGTTGTCGTTTGCCCACCTTTGAATTCCAGCTACATCCTCCTGAAGTGCCAATATATCCTTTTGGTTGCGTATCTCTCTCTTAAAAGTTTCACATTATAAGCAAAAAGAAATAAGTCCGACCATACCTGTTGTGGAAACAAAAAAGAAGAGGCCACAGTGCTCAACCTTTGGGGACCCCACCAGAACATTTCATAGCATGAGAGAAAGTGAATATAACCTTGACTTAAAATGTCGATTTCCCATATATGAAATGAGTCAATCAATTAGAGGTGGTCTGATACGCAATTGTTTGACCTTATTGATAAGACATATATGGTTGTTCCAATGTTGGAGTGAGAAGAAATTTAAGGATGGTAAATAGTCATTTATACCATCGCATATCAGGGACTCCATTATTTTTGAAGGTATAAAGAGAAGAAGGTTCACTGCATCGACCTCCTTTGAAAATTGGTGTGATGTGAACCAGCTTCTAAATTTCCGGTAGTTTGCGAGTGTGTGAACATCAAGCTAAGCGGTGTTGCTAAGATTGAAGCTGCTTCTCTCAGTATTGCAGAACGAACCATATTTGGACCAGGAGAAGTGTTTTTTCTTAGCTTCTGCAGATTCTGAGGCACTAATCCTGTGTTCAGGTTCACTTCGGAAAGTCCTGTGCAGTCGCAGATGATGCTGTCATCAGAATAGTTGATGTAGGTCTGTTGAAATGACCGAGAGTGTTGTTCAGCCAAAAGGTTAGCGGCGTCGCCGTCGTTATTGGTCATGCCACTAGGACCTAGCAGTTAGGAAACTAGTTTCGGCTTGTTGAGGAGAGGCTGCACAACTTATGTCCTTCGCGCGTATGTTCCTTATATGTTTATATTGCTTGTACGCACCGTTGTTATCGGTTCGTTTGTACTCTGCCCAACAGTGTCTTTTGTGGCTTAGCAGGCGAAGAGTGCGATTATTGATAATTGTGCGTTGTTTGTTGCTTTCAGGGCCGTTTGAGGAACGGACTGCTTTGTAGCACATAAGAGCGTGTGCAGTACGAAATCCCAATGAGCATCTACATCAAGTTGAGGGTGAACATCCCAATCCACTTATTGTAGATTTTCCTGTAAAGTTGACACATTCAACCGTTTAAAATTCCAGCGCCTGTTGATGGCTGGATGTCTTAGCTTAGTTTTAGTGACAAAAGTGGAGGCTATGACGGCGTGATCGCGTTTTCCCGCGGGAGCCAGGATTGAGAGGTTGTCGACTAGAAATTATTCGTTTGTAACAACCCAGTCTAAGCGTGACGATATCTGACTGTTTCTCCAACGAGTTGCCGACTTCACCTTTCCGTATGATCTCAGATCCTTAATGAGGTTGAAGAACAGAGTTTTCTTAGAGTTTTCATCTCCAGAATACGTTTATTCCACGAATTTGACTCTAGGGAGATTGAAGTCCCCAATAGTCAGGAAATGAGTGAATCCGAGACAAGTAGGACGGGATAGTCCTTCCGCCATACGACTGTCATACTTGATATCAGCAGCGGGCTTCCTATAGATGACCCGAACTAGGTACCTCGAGGTAGTAGACAATCTTGCTGAGCAACCGAAGTCAGTTGGCACGAAATCCTTCCCGATCTGCATCCGCCATATGGGAGGATGAGAAAGTTATCTTTATTATCCAGGGTCTAGAATTCCGTCCATCTTGGCCAGTCTCATCACTTGTTGAGTCAGTATATTTCTGAGCTTTGAGGATTGCTTGATGAATTTTCATTCCCTAACATCAGAGATTGTGTGATCGGGGTCCGTGTTTCCCGATACACCATGCAAAATGAAATTTCTTCCCCGGAAAAACTTTTCGCGAGATTTCTTAGAGATGTTCCGCATGATATTGCGTTCAGAATACGGTATGTCGTGCAGTATTCTTAGATTCCCATCTGATTTCAGTAAGTGGTTAGATAGTAGGATGTCATCTACGTCGTTTTCATTCTTAAGTGTTACACGAAGTAGCCTTGGGTGATGCCTAGAGTTTTTTCCTTGAGTGATCCGTGTGACCCTCAAAGGCTCTCTTCTGGAAAGTTCAAGCTTCTTGTTTAACTTTTCCCAAAGCGTCCTGTCACTTTTGTCCTGCAAACTGGGAGGAAGGTCAGGGTTGTCTTTGAGGTTCATAAATATGAAAGTAGTTATGGCATACCCTTTACAAATGTAGTGGCATCGGACCATAGCCACACAATCCTCAAAGCCGAACACGAGACTACTCGGAAAATAGATATTCAATATTTAACGTGTGGAAATATCCAACGATGGAGAGGGCGGGAAGAATGAATGGGATGATTTCTTAATGATCGGATGGAATTGCTCGACTTTGCAGGCGTGGTCCCTGTTGAATGTTATCTTATATCTTTTATTCATCATAAATATATTGTTCTGTCACTAGCCTAAGCTTGCTCTACATCATATTTTGGTGATTGTAACGACTCAATGAGTTGGTGTAGACGAGGATGTGACTTCCACGTAAGATCTTATATATTAGGCAGTTATATTATTATTAATGGCTTTATTCAATATTATAGTTTGGTACAATATAGAATTCTCAGCCCAAATCTACAATTATAGGATTAGGTCTATTATCAGACCAGTACTAGCACCATAGTAGACCATAATTCTTCACACCTTCCAATATCAAAGTACTTCCACGTGACTATCAAAATCTTTATCGTCCATTTAATCCGAACTACAAAGCAGTGAAGCGTCCTCAGTTAATGCAGTCAAATGGTAGCTCCCAGTTACCTTGATTCGGCACAGGCTGGGGTGAGTCGGCTCTCCCTCTCTTTTTCGACAGAATGACTACGTGCGCATTCTAATTCTACATAAAAGTAAACTGTGCCTCCTATGACAAAAGCACTTACCTATAAGAGCGTATAATTGATAAGATATCTTGAGAAAAAAACTTAGTTTAGTAGCAAACATTAGCTGAATATTAAGAAACCCGTCCAGTTTACGCCATGTATGCAGCGTACAATTATGCTGTAGGGCCAGCGAACCGTCACTAAGCCCTAGCCAAATAATCCGTCAGTTGGGTCATGGATTATCAGACAATTCATCGATCCTCGTCAAGGTAAAGGACAACCAACGCACATCAGTTAATCGTACTCCATGGACTGGCCCATGATGCAGTATCTTACTTTCGCTTGTAACTACTTTAACTAATATATTTCTGTAATAACGTCCTCTGTGTTGTACAATCTTCAAAGAATCTATGGTACGTTGATACATCAATGGGGTAGTCTATGTAAGGTGCCGACCACGATATACGACTTCGACGTTAACTGGTTCGTCACGCCATTCCCATTTAAATCGTGTATGCTTCTGATCATTCGACATAGATAATCTACTTTGGTGATCTACACTAGTGAACCCGACGTGATCTGTAGCGGTAAATAAATCCCCAAAAATAAATGGTTCTGTTTTCGACATTGGATGCTGACCACATTCGTTTTAATGGACTCACCTAGCTTAAGGTGCTTGATCATGCATTCGCACCAGATCACGAGTGAGAACGCCGTGTTCAACAACTTCTGCAATCGCTAGCGAGATTAGATCAGACGATCCTCGATATACTGATAACCTATCAAATGTATTTTCGAACCTCCTCGCTTCTGTCTTTTTATTTCACTTGGTGAGTACGATTCATATTAGAAGGTGTTACTGGTTAACCCGTTGTCAAATTCCGAATACCTGTGGCATCTTTAATGCCATCTAAAAACACAAAATTTCAACACTAACAACACTCAAACTTACGAAAATATATTCAAAGATTGTTCTGCAATCATAAGACACATGCGGTGAATGAGGCATTTCTAAATGTTTGAGAGTGACCGACTTATTGTGGTCTTTGACAAAAGAAAATGGAACGTTAACTATTGGTAGACACAGCATAGAGAAACAAACCTTAGAACTTATTAGTTGCGAAAAGTAGGAAAATCTTGAGACAAGATGCAGATATTTTGTGGTCGAAAAAAAATAAGGTGGGATATTGTGTAAGACTGCATTGAATGGTCTTGAAACTTGAAAGCACCAAATATCATGAGGTAAACTGGATTTACAACTAAATCCAAGCACAATAAATTATTTGAAATCTGATGTCACAGGAAAACATTGTGAAATTGTATAACGACATAACAACTAACCTGGAGATTATTCACGTTCCTTGTTAATCAGATCGATGAAAATATAAAAATGTTGCTTCTGAACTTAGAAAAAAACTTGCTGTTCAACAGTTTTCGAGTTTGGGATTGTATACCCTACCACATACATCTTATGGTTACTTAAATTATTATCATGAAGTGACTGGGGAGGTAAATGAAGAGGAAAGTTACTCTTATAGAGTGATACTTTGTATATTTCCAATCTGTGACACATGTTAATTTTTAGTTGCATCATCAATGAAGTCACTGTGTGAAACAGTAACCATATAATCTCTTATCTTAAATTAGGAAGAATGTTGTTGGACTTTTGATGGTATAGGCAGTTTTATAGAGATCAAACGTGTCCGTTCAACCGGGACAACCAGTGAGGCATAATCAAATTAACTAACAAAAGATATAAGATTACCAAGATATGGTTAAAATATGCACGATTAATAAGTATTCAATTCTTCTGTGTACTACAGAAACGTCTGTTTGCCTGGAACATCAGGATTGGCTGTTATAAAATGATATACAAACTTATTTTTTGTTGAATAAGAAGATATTTATTACCAAAGATTAGGTAAAACTACCGATCTGACAGGAAGCGCGGTATCTGATCTGGGGGGTACGTTTAAAATGTTAGGTTCGCTCAAAGTGATGTGCGTTTCCCCATTTCTTGGACAAAAGTCCCGTTCCATGGCCACTTTGAAAGATATTGCAGTAAGACTACGGTCTGTGAAAAACATACAGAAAATCACTGCATCTATGAAAATGGTTTCGGCATCAAAATTTGCTAGAGCTGAACGTGATTTACGTCCAGCCAGACCATATGGTTATGGTGCTCGAGGTACTTTTAAAGTATATCTTGACTGCCACAGCATTTTACCAGACCGCGGAATTAGTGCCAAAGGAGACCAAACCTAGTGAGAATGACTTACTGATCGCAATCACATCAGATAGAGGTCTATGTGGTGCTGCTAATAGTAGTATTGTAAAGGTAAATTGAAATAAATTATCTTAATACCCGTAGGCAATCAGAGCTCTGATTCGTAGCAACCCAAATCTAGAAAATTCATGCAAGTTACTCTTGGTCGGTGACAAATCTCGTGCAATGATGATTCGTCAATATCGTAACATGTTTTTGATGACTGTCAATGAAGTCGGAAAAAAGGCACCTACTTTCGAGGATGCGTCGACAATAGCTCAGGCGATAATATCATCTGACTTTAAATTCGATAAGGCTGTGATGTTTTACAATACATTCAAGTAATTATTATTTCAGTTTGACATTTTGTAGGACAGTAGTATCTTACATAACAACAAGTCAGCCGCTCTTGAGCTTAAATAAACTGTCTTCTTCTGAAAACATTGGTGTTTATGACTCGGTAGATGATGAAGTCTTGCAAAGTTACAATGAATTTCTCCTGACCTCACTAATTTTTGCTGCTTTAAAAGAGGCAGCTGCTAGCGAACAGTCAGCTCGGATGACTGCTATGGACTCGGCTACCAAAAACGCAGGTATGTACCTTATTTCTTCGTCCATTATTTGCAGGTGATATGTTGAGTAAACTGACACTCAGTTATAATCGAACACGTCAGGCAGCAATCACACGTGAGCTCACTGAAATTATATCTGGTGCTGCAGCGGTCTAATTTTGTTGGCAACTCCAACTATTACGAGACAATATAATCCAGTAGTAAATATTCATTGAATGTTTCGTTCTGTTTTACTTCATGTATTTACTTCATATAATAACAGTTACAGTTTATTCAGAAGTTAATCTAATGTGATGAACTTGATATAAAAATTGGCATAGGTTAATAAGAGATTTATATATGATGAACTTTTATCATTGGGACACAGACCGCAGTCAATCGAAGTACAGTACATGGCACTAGTTTCTCTTCACGTCTAGTAAAGTAGCGGCGACACGTTCTGGGCAGACCACCTTCTGCGAGTATTCACTCCAGGATTACCGCACTTGTTGCGTAATATGTATTTGCAGAGTATTTTTCGCGGAATTTAATTATTTAAATTTCAAAGTTTTTCTTAAACCTTACCAACTTTCGACTTTACTAAAATACGAAAAAATTTCTAGCTCCTTTTACATAGAAGTAGTGTAGAACGTCCAAGTGCAAATTCACAGTCCTCTGCGAAACATCTGAAACTTCTGATTATCTTCATTACGGCAAGTAGGCTGTATATTTGGATCAGTCAAGATAAAGTAAATAGTTCACCTCAAATTATTAATATTTTATAGTATATTTTCTTACTTAGATATAGATCTTTAGGCGTAATTAAATATTGTTGATTAATGATCATGTCGAGGTAATATTTTGCTACAGATTCCATGCATCAAATACCAGCAGTCAAGTGAGGGAAGTATATCTATCATTAAGTGAGTTAATAAGTGTAAACCAAATGAAGTAAGGGAACTATAGCGTGTCTGTCCGTTCAGATTACCTACAAAACTGTTTTTAAATGATCGGTCATAGTGCTTCGGTTTATACTGTAGTGAACAAAACACGGGTGGGGAAAATCGAATTATATTTAGCACAAAATTACAGTTACTTAGTAAAGTAGAAAAACCATATTATAATACTTAATTTGTAAAATGTTCAATAACTGTCTCGAACTTCGTTATTCTTGCATTTCCATATAGTTGCTTTCTATTCCCACTCTTCCTTTCTTGATCTTTCCCATCTGCTGCCAGACATTACACTCCTGACTCGCGTCATATACTACTTATATCAATATAAGTAGCACGCACCACAACAGGAATACTTCTTAATGTGCCCAGACGTGTTCGGTTGCGAACACTATCTATACTTTGATAGTCCATGACTACGGATAACTAACAGCATTAATTTATTTCAATACACGCTTTGTTACCGTACCCTCTCAAGTTAGACTCATAGATGTACGAGATATCACTGAACGATGGATCGAAGAGTTGCAGGCGTGTAAATTAGTGATCGGTTTAATTTGTGAAGTTTGCTAGGTAATGTATGTACATTACGGCCTACATCAAGCTACAGAGTTTCGGCCTAACGTACCGGACTTCATCAGTGGAGGTGTCCAGTTGTTCCTTTCTTGGATTATTAAGGAATGACCTCGCTGACTATTTCATCAGTCCGTGCGTTTGAACTTATAAAGGGTGCAAGTAATGTGATAAAATAAACTTACAGGAATACGTACTATGTCCGTAGCATTCCCACCTGCTCTCACTTGTATGAAGACATGTTGTACTACCGAACTGCCAGAAACAAAGATAGTATAGGATCCAATTTATGTTTATTTGGCACCAGAAACTATTATCAACAGTGTGTTTACGTATGTGACTAATATTTTACGCTAGTTCTCCACATGGTTGTTTTAACCTTGACCTATGACCTAGTTGTGGACGTAAGTGCTCTTGCTTCATAATGTTGCGACCGTAGCTGCTACCTTGGGGTTGCTGTTGGGCTTCTCTATGACGATGACTCGACCAAGCCATATTGACTGGAGCATGCTTTTTTAGGCCATACCATGCCAGGCAAGTCAATCGGAAAACTACAAGGCTAAAATCAGCAACTTAAGGTTCAATGGCGGAGTCGTACTTCTGACTGCAGATGGCTGCGACCGCCGTAAGACGTTTTCCTCGAACAGCCAGCATCTGCAGCCATCCTGACTCGCAACGGAAAGAAGGGTTAGGTAAGGTTGACCGTTAAAATATCATCCGTCTCCATCAGTATGGTCTTTTAAAGTGCGAAGCTAACATATCAACAAACTCCCATAAAAAGGCGTGCGCGACGGGGCTCAGATAGTTGTCGCTTGGGCTCTGTGGTCATGCTCATAGGTCGCTAAGATCACTACTGATCTAGCGTCTTTTTCAGGTTTCTTAAGAAATATCCTCCCTTCCAACCGGGAAGTGACAACCGCTTTCATACCTCCATCAGCAACTGAGATCATCTTGGTGAGTACCGAAACCATCCCTCACCTGATAATTCTGCCATCCTTACGACTAACCCTTCTCGTTTATATTTATCACCACGCGCCCCCAGTGCTAATTTGAGTTCACAAAGTGTTAATCCTGGTCCCCGGAATCCACCACATGTTAGAGCTTTTAATGTTCAAACCTTGTGTCAAACGAGACAACAGGCTTCTTTAATTAAGACTTTAGAATATCGCGCCATCGATATATGCTGCGTCTCCAAAACGCGCTTACATGATTCAAGGACGGTCACATATTAGATTTCACCTTATTAGTATAAAGAACCGGGAAGACTTACCCTTCTACTATCTGGAGACACCACTGGTACTTCCCATGGCCTCTCTGGTGTAGGTACAGCCGTAAGTCCGGAGGCAGAACAGGCTCTGTTATAATGGATTCCATTAGACAATCGCTTATACTCTTTGACTAAACAAGACAGTAGGAACCCGAAAAGATAGGGACACACGCCTTTGTTTGAGATACGCGTCTCTCCCTCCTAATGGGAGGTCAGTTTGCGTCAGCGCCCAAATTTACGGTAGGAAGTGAAGTATTTGGACGTATCGACCACCTTACCTATTTCGGGAGTCTCATCAGTCCTGATGGTCTGGTGAAATTTCGTCACTGATGTAGAAGTTCCGATCCTACTGATTGCATCCAGGATGAAGTCAAATATGACTTTTACAGAAAGCTTTCTGGAATTCTTCATAAAGCTAAACACTCAGACATAGTACTCGTAGCAGGTGAATTTAATGCCCAAGTAGGTAGCTTAAACCAACCAGAAAGACATTTAGGTGGATATTTTAGTATTCCGGTTCGGCGACTGTGCTGAGACAGTCGTTTGTTTTTATCAAGCACTAATTTTAAGCATAATGAGAGATCATCTACCATGGAGACCCCCTGCACCAAGCCAACGATGGACTCAAATAGATCTTATTGCCATCAGTCACCGTTGGAAAGGCTTGATAAAGACTGTCGCTCATTCTGGGTTACCTGCTTGGACTCCGTTAATGCTCTAATACGAGCACGCATCTGCTTGCGCCTCGCTGGACCCAGAAAAGCCTCACTAAGAAGATCCATAAGAATTGAACTAAGTGACGAGAAAGCCGAAAGTAGATTCCAGGAACAATTGAGGTCGCATTTGGTTAGTTCTGAAAACTGAGCTGACCCAGATGTTACATGGAAAGGTATACGACTAGCTGTGGAAACAGCAGTGACGTCTGTTAGTGATTTAAGCCAAAAGGTTACAAGTCAGTCAGTAACAACGTAGAACTTAGTACGTACGTACATCAGTTCGAGTTGCCATACCACATTAGCACAGAGATGCAGTGGTCGATTCAAATCCCGTAGTGGTAGAGGTAGCAAGAGTATAAGAAGTAATCGGGAAGATTAGGGTTTGGAGATGTTATTTAACGAGTATAATCCAGTGAAATAAATTTGGAAAGAGGAAAAAAAGGGGCATGAAGAATTCAGATAATTAGAATTTGGGAGAACATAGAGAGTGGATGCACCTGCGCCATTGCAAACGATTTTGAGCCATGTCATTCAGGGTCTCTAACCATCGGTTGCTATCATCTCGCGGTCCCCAACCAGGTAGTCTACACCTACCGACATGACTCAGACCACTTGTCAGTGACTTCATGGACTTGTGCCATGTTTTGGTCTGGCCGCCCCTAGCTTTCTTCCAACCTACTCCTATACCACTGAATATAGCACGTCGAGGTAGTCGGTGGTTGGGCATACGTAACACATGTCCCAGCCATCTCAACTGATGAAGTTTCACTACTTCATCAATTGATTTGCCATCCTTACCTAGTACCCGTTTCCTAACAGCTGCGTTACTTACTCGGTGGTCCCAGGATATACGAGCAATACTTCGAAGACACCTATGATCAAATACTAGTAACCTACGAATATCCTCTACTCTTACCGGCCATGTTTCACAGCCATAAAGTAGGACGGAACGAACTGCTGCGCAGTAAACACGTCCTTTGGTTGGTAGACGGATATCTCGCCTACGCCATAAATGACGCAAGTTGGCAAAAGCTAGTCGAGCCTTCTGTATCCGTGCTGAGATTTCGTCACACACCAGACCACAAGGGCTGATGAGACTTCCAAGATAAGTGAAGCGGTCGACACACTCAACTACTTCACTCCCTATCACTAGTTCGGGTGTCGATGTAACCCAATCCTGAAGCAACATTTTGCATTTCGAGGGAGAGAATCGCATCCCGAACATGCTTGCATTGTTGCTTAGAGTGGTCAGAAGACTCTGCATTTTGTCAGAGCCTTCACCAAATAAAACTATGTCATCTGCATATTCTAAGTCAACAAGTGAACCTCCCGGTAGAAGTTCAACCCCCGGAAATTTAGATGAGGAGAGTGTTATCTCTAAAAGTACGTCGACCACAAAGTTGAACAAGAATGGGGAGAGTGAACAGCCCTGACGAACACCACTTGAGGTAATCAATTCTGATGACAGTTCGCCATAAGCTCTCACTCTACCAGTTGTGTTCGAGTAGAGAGCCTTTATAAGGTTAATGTACTTCTTTGGTACTCCTTTCAGTGACAAACACTGCCATAGAACCTTACGATCAACAGAGTCGAATGCCGCCTTAAGGTCGAGAAATACTACCATTGTGGGGCGTCTGAATGTGTGTCTGTGTTCTAGAACCTGACGTA